GATGCCCTTTCTGCCTTCTCCTCCCTCTACCTGCTCAAACCTGGATGTGAATTGCCGCTATTCCCCCATGCCAACTCTGCCCTTGGGCTGCCTGTCAGTAAGCTTGCTATCTTGCACCCAGACAGCCCCTCTAGGGTTAGAACACCAGTCAAGAGAATAGGATTGTGCTCCTGGTTTACTGGCTGTGGTTTATATGTCAAGTCAGTAAGACATTTAACATACCCGTGCCTCGGGTTTCCCACTTTAAAACAGAAGCGGGAGGGTTGACCCATATCTGTAAAGCCATTTGAAGGCTGTTGCAAGTTATCACAGTATGGTTATTGTTTGAAATATCATTACATCTGTAATTCCTCAATCTAGCAGGTAGGGATTAGAGCAGTGCAGCTGCTGGGCAGCCTCAGTGTGCTCTTTGGGCCTGCACAGTACCTGAATTTGGGGATGACAGGGGACTTGCAGGGCATGCTGGCAGTGGCCCTGGGCTGGCCGCTCCGGGACACAGCCAGGGCTCCAAGTCTGCTCCCAACCCAGAGTGCCAGCACATCACAGAAATCAGCTTGTCATGCAGTGTAATGAAAGCTGCAGTCACCTTTGCCACTGCTGCTGCCTGTCCTTCGTCCCATTTATTTTTATCCCACTTGGAAGTGCTCATTAGTGTTTACTACCACTTGTCAAACAGCAGCTTGAAATAACAGAGCTGATGAGGGGGATGGGGAAGTGAGTGATGAACACACACGCAAAAGTAGGGTCTGTTTGGTAAGAAGACTACTCTAGTGCAATATAGACCTCATAGGTTTATAAATGCAGAGTTTCATCTCCTCTTCTCTCTTGCTGCTGAAGAGCTGCCAACTCGTGTTTCCACCAAGTCTCTCTTCCATGATCTTGGTCATACCCCAACTTGTCAAGGCAGCTGATAGCGGAGATGCTGCACTTATTTTTAGATACATTTCTAGTGTTTATGGCTTCAAAATAAAGTGTATCCTAGAGGCTGAAAAGAAGACCCCAGTAAAAAGCAAAGAGCCCATCCTTCATGGTTGTTCATCCTTTCTCTTACTTTAGAATTATCACATTGCAATATGGCAACTCTTTTCCTCACTTATTTCCTTTCAGGGTACTTCTACTTGCCTTTTCTGCATTTTGTTTCCCCTTATTTTTCCACTCATCCCCACATTCCAGTCTTTCTCTCTTCCACTAATCACCTGTGATTCCTTTTCTTGCCCCACTCATGCCATCAGCCTTCCATGGCCCTTTTAGTAGCTTGAACCCTTCCACTTCCATAGCTGCAGACACACATGCATAGTCCACAGCCACCCTCACTGCAGCGCTTCTTACTCACCTTTGAGTCTAGAAAACAACAAGTTCTCCAGGGCAGATTCACAGACCACACAGCAGTTACATGACCTGCAGACAAGTTTTTGGGAGTGCTTTCTACTGGAGGTAATTCTCCTTTCTGGTATCCAGTGCCAGACACTACCAGAGCTATTGGTAGACAAGTGCTAACCTCCTGTCTTCATCTTAGGCTCCACTGATAGCCTGATGCCAGAGAAAACTGAGCTGAAAGCCCTGAGCTTTTATTATTGCTGAAAGCTTTGACACTCCCGCTGATGTCGGTACTTTGAGCACTGAGCCATTTTGATGTGGTCTCAACAAAACATACTTGTGGTCTGGATCCAGATTTCATAATTTGTGTAACTCTAATCTCAACATTAACATTTCCATGTCCCAGTTTAATTTTCTGTAAAATGAGGATCATGTGCGTTTTGCTATCTCTTGGTCTGCTAAGCAGTCCAGTGTAGTTCCTCGTGTGCTCTGAAGTTCTCAAATGAAGGGATTGAATGCACAGCCAAGGAACCAAAGGGCTTTTCTGCCTCCTGGTTGCAGAGCCATTACTGAGTCCCTCCAAGAACGTTCTAAATATGCACACAGTTGTTAGGTAAGGGACCAGCGAGTGCCATGTGCACTAGAAACCTCCTCCCTTTGTGCTCAGATCTTTATCTCAAAGCTAAAACCCAAACCAGCCACATTAGACTTAACTAGCACTATTCCATATGACAAGTTATTAGATGGAAATTCTCAGAGCACATTTGAAGTCTGAGCAGAGTAACATTTCTCTGCCATTTTTGTATTGTCTAACGATGTCTAAAGGGCTTGCTGTCTATCAGCTAGTGATTTAACATTGTTTGCCAGAAGTCTTTGGAGGGGAGAGCATTTCACTTAAGGAGAGGTTGTTCTCTTTAAAAGAACAAGAGGTTTCTTTTCATTGGAACAGGCGCCACAATCTCAGGAGCCTCTGCTTGCAGCTCCAGTCAGGTTCTGCATCCTATTCCTGGACGCTGCTGGTGGGCCAGAGTGGAAAGTGCTAATCCAGGAGTGCTTGAACTTCTCGAGAGAGCATCTGACATGTGGCCTTTTGGGGTCCAAATGTTCCAAGTGTGTGTGGGAAGGACATTTCCCTTTAGTGGGTCCCTTTGATCTCTCTCACTTCAAGCTTCCCCTCCAGGCCTATTGTTTGCACATTGCTGTAACTACAGGAAAACAAACGCATTATACAATTTCCCAGACTGACTCACCCTGGTACTTGATGCCTCATGTTGTCTGGTTACCCTGATTGCATCATGTCAGCATGGGAAGCTTAAAGTCTGTTTTTTCTGAGTAATAATGCTGCATTTGAGCAGTAGCTAAAACCAAAAAAAAATAAAGTTATCATTATTGCAATTATCATCTTCAACCTGCATACTACAAGCAAGAAAAACCAAGCGAGCCAAGTCCCTATGAACTAAACCTTGTGTGAATCATGAGTTCCAGTCAGGGGCCATGCTTAAATGATGCAGTATGCGAATATAAAAACTCTTTACTTCTGGAAACTTGGACTCAGCCATTGGAACGGGCCAATCCGCACTACTCCCTCGTCCCTGGCTCCTCGGGGATGCGTTTTGTTCAGCATGTTGTAAACAGGGAAGGATGGGAGGTGTCCACGCGGCTGTGTCATGCACTGTGGGAACAGGGCCATTGCTTCTGGGTGGGGATGAAACCCCAGGAAATTTGTCCCCCGCTTCGAGTTCAAGCATCTTATGTTCTCGTGGCTGATGTCTGTGGAGGGAGGGGGTTATCCGTCCTCTCCTGTCCTAGGTGCACCCAGCAAGGCTGACTGAGCTTCAGGAAGCAGATGGGTTGAGCCTCTCCATTGCTGCAGCACAGCCGCTTCCTGAGCCACCCACTTCAGCTGCTCAAACTTCTACTGAGATACTCACCATACACAAGAAAGAGTTGCAGCACATTCCATTCTGATGTAGGGCTTCTTCCACAAACCCAAACTCTGCTTAAAAGAAAGCAAAACTCCCTTTCCTCCCATGCCTTCCTCCATGGCAGGGACATGCTGGGTGAAGGGAGGAATCACAATCATTATAATCCTGTATCTGCAAAACACCTCTTGCAAGCGTCAGACCTCTTTATGAAACAGCTGACAGAAAGCCAGTGCTTTCCCTCAGGCTACCACATGCAACACTAACTGCACCCTCAGCAGCATTTGCTCTAGCTACATATCCAGCTGTGTGGCATCCACAGGTATGGTGCATTGGTGGCGAAATGGCAGAATCCTTCTCTTAATGCACCCTGGATGATGTGCTCACCCTGTGTTTCTGATTTCAGAAGTTTAATTTCATGTAAGCAATTGCAAAGCCAGAGGCAGTGGCATCTGTTAGTTCACAGAGGAAAGACATCATCTCTTAACATGCTCTGGGCCACTAAGGTTGAAAGGGAAGCTAGATAGTAAAAAAACATTGCAATAAAACTCCATTTCTGGTTTGAGTCAGATGTGTGGGATAAAAGTCTGTAATTTCTTGGTATCTCACAGGGCAGAGAATCACTAAAAGCTACAAGACAAAAGCCTCTATGCTGACAGCGCTTCTCACATTCAGTTTTGATTACTTGATATTTTGTGCAAACACAGACATTGTGTAAACTAAGTTAAATATATCTATTTGCACTGACAAATCAATAGAGACAAAATTAATAAGGCCTTCTTTAAGCTTTGAGGACATGATTAAAGGGTTTTCCAAGGCAAGTTCTTCATTCAAAAGGATATAATTACACTTAAAGAAGTTATCATGTTTGTGCACTGCCAGTACAAAAGCAGCTCTTACGGGACTTGTCTAGACACTTCCACCGTGTTTCTTTGTTCTTCTTGTAAAGTCATTTTTTTTATACAGCAACTGCACCAGTATCCATTTTTTTTCATCCAAGTTCTAGGTCTTTCTTAATTTCTGACAAAGGAAGTTTCCTGTGCTTTCTCAGATTTTCATTTTACAGAACTCTGCCAGGCGGTGTTTGGTAAATCCAGACTCATTTCACCCTTTTCAAACACGTGAAATCCTCTCTTATTTTGGATTGTTCTCATTTTCTGGTATTAGTTCTTCAACCAGAATAACTCAGCAGCGGCCTTTCAAAAAAATGAAGCAATGAATTGAAAGAAAATTGCCACCCAAAGTAACGCAGACCTATGACCATGCAGAGGGTTATTGCGTCAATGCATTATCTGTAAGCCCAGACGCACACATTAAAAAAGCCATTACATATGTTAATATATGCACTCTAGTGTTCCAGCTGGCTTGCACCAATGCTACAATTATGCATAAAAGTCAGGAAATGATGTGTGGAAAGGATAATGAGCAGCATTGTCTGCCCAATTACCAAGTTTGCATATGCAAACAATAATTTTGTGAAGCTGTGCCTGGCAAGCGCTTATTCTGAAGTTGCATCAGCAGCTCTAAGGTTAACTGTAACAGCAGAGTAACCCAAAACCACCTCAACTCTGCTTCAACCCATCCTCCTTTTTTTGAAGGGAACAGAAATGCTTCGTCTGAAGGTGATTAGATGGGAAAATGTGCCAGCCCAGCTCTGGTGGATTTTGCCTATAGCCAGAAGGCTTAAAGCATGTTTGTGGATGCCTATAGACTCTCCAGAGGAAAGCGAGGGTAACTGGGAATTACACTGTTGTTTTTCAGGGATTCAGATTTGTTCCTGCTCGATTCTCGGACGATCTGGGCTGCAGAAGAAGGGTGGCTGGTGTTCGACATTACTGCAACCAGTAATCACTGGGTGGTGAATCCCCAGCACAACCTTGGCCTGCAGCTATCCGTGGAAGGCATTGATGGTGAGTGCCAGACACCAACATCAATCAGTGAGTTGCTGTTTCGGGTACACGATACCCAGCCAGGGGAAGCCTTAAACATTCAGTACTCTTTCCTTTGAGTAGAATTTATTGAACATGTGCTTCCTGAACTTGCCTAAAATGGAGATAGTAATTATAACAAAATAATGCATAAACAAATTTCAGATGAAGGATGTACTCAAATGCTGTAACAGATTGGTAACCTGCCTGCAGTCATTTCACTATTAGCTGTGCACACCTCCCTGTCAAGGTACATATACTCTGTTGATTTGCAAGTAGTGCAGTCCAGTGGAGGAGAGAGGAACAAGCTTTGGTATGTGCAGAAAGACAACCAAGGTGTAAAAGACTGGTGTTAATTGGCACAAAAGTCCTTTTAAATTCAGAAAACAGCTAGGAACCGTTTTAATTTCCTTTGCAGTAGAAAGGACTAGAAAAGTCACGTCTGGTTGAGACTCCAGGGTCGGTCTACAAAGTGGTTATGGTGAAAACCTGTGAGGTGTGGGATTGGGTGGGAAGTTCTGGCTCTGAAACATCTCCAGAAAGGATGTGTTTAGAATTAGGCAGGGAATTCTGCTAACCAGGTCTTAACTAAAAAGTTGTGTTTGTCTTAAAGTTAAAATGCTCACTTGGAGACTTGTACAAGGAAACCAAGTTAGCCTGGATCTTTTGGGGTTTCGTAGGACCTGAGACCACCTGAAACTGCCTGGCTGCTGTACAGGAGAGATTAGGCAAAACCCAGTTCAAAACTATTGTATATACTCCAAATGCAGTTATCTAAGGACATGTTTTTATCCTCCAGATATTCATCAATGCTGTTGGGTTTTATGCAACACTCTGAACTTTTCCAGTATGTGGTATTTTGCATAAGGACCGTGCAAAGCAGTATTGAAACAGGCTCCCTACAGTGTCCATTTATACTAAAGGTGATTTTACTTATGTGAGACCTGCACACCGAGAAGTGCACAGGGTTTGTTTTAACCTGCCCTTTCTGAGTGATCAGTGAATGCAGAAACCCAAACACAGACACAAAGCAGGAGCTTCACCATGGAAGTTACTAGTTCCCACCCCAATGACAGATGCCTTTTGCTATCTTTGTTCAAAGATTCAAATTCAACCTGATTTACAAGTTAAGATTAACTCTTAAAACAGTAAAGCAAGTTAACAGCCAAGACAAGCTTAACCTGTTTTCAAACACTTGTCTTTATTTTTAGTTTCTAAATCGCATCCTAAATGAAATACTCGGAAGTACAGAAGTTGTGTCCGTGATCATGGCACATTTACTCAGCTGTGGTTCATATACAGGAAAGCCATCAAGACTCAAGCACAAGAGCCCACATGATAGCTGAAAGTAGGCTTAATATCTCTAACCACCATGGGTACAGTACAGTATCACACTCACACTTTTCTACTGATAAAGCCTTATCTCTCTGTCCTCCCCCATCCTCACCTAGTGATCTTACAGCAAAAGTCAGTCCTGGTTTTCAGCATTAAGGAGGAAGGCAGCTGATTTATGAATCTGTTACAGATTTCTATAGAGACTTTTCAGGATCCTCCATCTAAGGAAATGCTGCAACTTTGCATGCACTTACAGTAACTCTGGCTGCTCTCCTGGAGCAATTAGAAGTGGACCCTTAAAAGCATACAGCCAGATCTATCACAGAGAAAGCTTTCAAAGACAGACTCCCAGGTTCAGTCTCATCTGTTATTTGATTCAATGAAAATTAGGAATCTGATGATTTTTACTGCACTTCTGAGAAATCTAGCTGAGCTTGTATGTGGTTCCAACCCTTTGAAAAGTAACTTGCTGCTTTCTCAAAGCAAATTAACAAAATACTTTAATCAGCCTGCCATTAAAGTTAGAAGAGCCAGCTGCAGTGTTTAAAAGGTAAATAGAGAGATACAAGACCTAACTGTGTGCTTGTCGTCTGTAACCAAGTCCCTTGGCAGCACACCTTTGCACTCATGTTTCTCCACCATACACATGAAATTTTCTTTCTGTTTTTGAAGAACGTGTCCTTCCTTGCTCCCCAAGTTTCCCTTTGGATTTAGACCAACTGTGTGTAAGAGAGCTGCTTTTACACCTGGACTGCATATGAAAATCACATGCTGCAGACACAGCAGGATTTTGATGCAACACTGTACACTTGGGCAATCCCCAGAGCTTGAAGTGAATTACACCCCAACTTTTCTTTGTGTCTGTCATTACACAGAGCTCTGTAATCACAGAGCCAATACAGTCTATTTAAGAAAAATTCCGACATTGCAAGCACTGTCCAGGTGAAATTATACAAAATAAATTAAGTGATAGTTGTATTTCTTTATAATCTTGCCAACAAAGTCTATCAACAAGTAGAACTAGGCTGGAATCAAAGGGTATTTGTTTACTCTTAGAAAATGGGGATCAGCTCAAGCAGCAAGCGAAAGGACAGTCACCTTCAGTGAGCTCTGAGCCCAGCACCCAGGAACAGCCCCTGCCTGCTGAGGTTCCTTTACTTTGTTACTTAAGATCTTATGTTTGACAGTATTAAAAAAGCAGCTTCTTAAAAGCAGATAAAGCTGTGCCCTCTGGTTCAAGAGTACATCTTTAGTTCTTTTGGGAGAAGTTTATCATCGTTTCATGGTGACTACACGTGTCCTTGTGTTTAACCTTGCCTTCTGGATGTATACGAAAGTTAAAGCGGATTTTCCCCATCTTTATTAAAAACAAATATGCTACTTTGCATACAGAGCATTACACTGCCACCATACTGGTCCTGAACATGACATGTTGACGCTACACAAGGAATTAATTGGTCAGATGCTACTTATTGCTGCACTAATGTAAATCCATTAAACATATCAGTGTGAAGTAGTCAGGTCCTCTCACTCCATACTGCTGCCCTACTCCCTAGAGGCATGGTAAAGGTAAAATCAGTTACACTAGAAAAACCACAGCCATAGATGTACTTGCTAGTTTAAACAGCTTTGGGAAGCAGAAAGGCTTCTCTGAAGGGGCAAGACAAAGCCTGAGGAGCAGCACTCAGTGAGCAATAACTCCTGCAGCTGAGCTTGTTCTCAGGAAGTAAGGCTTCGATCTGGCAAAGCCTGAGCACAAGTGGAACTACTTACCTATTTAGCATCGGCTACTTGCTTGAGCACTTTGTGGGCTCTGCCTCCAATGTTTAAAATGAAAACTGTTTGGACAAGCTTCCAGAACGCAGCTTAAGCAGAAGGTGAAGTTGTTGATACACGTCCACATATAAATCTACCTACGTGGGTTTTTACATGTGCTATTTTTGCCCAAGCTTAACTGGTGCCCCATCCTGAGATTAGTTTTGCTTTATCTAGTTTGCAAGGCCTGGCTGTCCTGCTGCCACGCTCCCATTAAAACACCTCTTGAGACAGTCCCCTCCTCACATCTCATATGCTGCAGCTTGGGACTTGCTCACTGGGCTGCACACTTGTAGAAAGGACTTCAGCCAAGGCCAGTTCATTTCTTGGCCTTGAGCTTTGACCACAGCCCCCTTTTTCTGGGTCTGTCACACCAATCTTTTGACCACATACAAGAGCAAAGATGGAAACACTCCCATAAAGACGCTACTTTATAAATAAGCCTCAGCATTTACTCATCTTAAAACCAGCAGTTACAGAATATTACCTAGAAATATCACAGGTTATCAGCTTCTTTTCACATCGTAGTGAGAAACAGATAAGGAAGATAAGGACTTTTTTATTTTATCAGGAGCCTGTAGAGCCCCTCGCCTGCGTTCCCTGGCCAGGCTGCCTTTCAGGGCTTCTCTAGGAAAGAACCAGCTCTCCTTTGGCATATTTGTTTTATGGCTGACAAGGCCCAGCCCTGCCCTCAGCAAAAGGATCACAAAATCCATTAACATAACTTTGACTTAGCAGCAGTACTCAGTAGCTTGGAACAGGATAATTCTGGATATCACCCCTGCATTTCACAACAGCACCCAGGCATCCTTTGGAGGCAACAGAGAGAAATACTGAGTTTCCCCCTGCCACCCCCCCCCCCTTGCAGTTTTTGTAAAGAACTGATTTCATTCTGCAGATAAACCACCTAATCATCTTCTACCAAAAATCAAATTACTGTAAAAGTCCAGGATGATGGAAACATGAACAGCAATCAGTAGCTGTGAAACACAATTATCAGGTACAGTGGTGCTGAGATACAGCAATAAGCAAAATGTCTCTAAACATCTGAAGAATTTGTTTCTCCCAGCTACAGTGTATTTGGAGCTCTGTCAACATTTTAAAAGAGGCATTTTTATTTTAAGTTAATAACCTTCCAGTGGGAATTTAGTGTTCCTATGGGCTGAGTTTATGGCTCCTTTTATAGGATCACTTCAAATTATGGGTTGGTGAACTTAAAGAAACCCCTCTAAAGAATGCAGGAAAAGTTAATGCTAAGTGAATTTAGGGTAAAATAATTGTATGTAGGATTATTTTATGTAACTTTTACATGGAGATATAAAATGAAGTTAGCTGTGCTCAGCTGCTTTTGTCAGAAGCAGCTTTGCCAATCAAGTCCAGGCCCTTTGTGGATTGTCACATGCCTGGGAACCACCTTTACCAACCAGACAGCAGCTCTTCTCCTTGCTACCCTTACTATGTCTGCTCAAAATGGAAAGTTACTGCAGGCTCTCTTATCACTCTATTCTGTTATTAAGGGCAAAGCATCAATCCCAAACTGGCGGGTCTTATTGGAAGGCATGGCCCACAGAACAAGCAGCCGTTCACAGTAGCCTTCTTCAAAGCCACCGAGGTCCATCTCCGCAGTATTCGCTCCACAGGAGGGAAGCAAAGGAGCCAGAATCGATCAAAACCACCAAAGAACCAGGAAGCTTTCCGGGTGTCAAACATGGCAGGTACAGCATGGGTTGTTATGTCTGTTATGATGATCTGTGTGTTGTCTCTCTGGTCTACTGCTAGTGTTCAGCTGCAGGTTTGAAACTACTTGGATTAGGGATTATTGCAAAAAACTTAGAAAAATAATATTTCTTTGAAACAATGGTAAACTGAGAGATTTCTTAACCCAGTCATTTTTAAAAAGGCACCTAACCAGAAAATCTCCTTTTCTCCCACATGAAATAGATTCTCATTCTGAAATGTAAGATAATTACACTAAAGCAATGGGTAGGTGATCAAAATAAGGTATTTCAGCGGATCTGAATCAAAATGCTGTAGATTTTCAGAGTTTGTGATTTTAAGTTTAGCCTCCAAAACATTTAGTAGCCCCAAAACTTTTGCATGAAGAGGAAGCCCCATTGGTTGCTCAGGATAACTGCAGCTATTCTGAGGGGAATCCTAATATGGAAGAAAACTCCATCAGGCATTTGAAATAGAAATGTGGCTTAATTATGAGATACCTCAGAATAATGGGCCCTTGGTGACCTTCCCAGCAGGAACCACAGCACAGGGCTAGCGCTGCTGAGGGCAGTAGCAAATTCCAGCTCTATTTCTCTGAGTGCTTCACTGAATGGAAGAAAACCTTGCAAGAGGTGGAAGGAAGAGGACAACACAGGGCACAATACCATCTTATGTGACTCACCTTTGCCTTGGGTTGCTTGGGGTTACCTGCAAGGCTGCGGGAGAACTCTCTCCCATCAGTTTTGTTTCAGCTTCCCTATATTTAATCAGGCCATTCCCATCCTAGAATTAACAGTGTTTTCTTGCAGCCCTGGCAATAGGTAACCCTTCTCTGACCTGCCCAGATGTCTGTTTTTCTGCACCTCTCACCTGAAATCAGAGTTTCTTAAATTGGTTTTCCCTCACTTACATTTCCAAGCTCTGAGTCTTGCAGTTCCCCAAGCATAGATGGTCTGAAGTTTAAGCATGTGTTTTTATCACCCATTTTCTTTATCAATACAATTTTTAAAGTGGACAAAACACTTCCTGGTTTCTACAAGTAGGTTAAAAAGTCCCGTGAGCAGTGTCCTCCTTTGAGCTTGGGGACCCCACATTGAGTTAGTGTTCAACAAGAAGAGTGGAAGAAGCATTTCCAGTACTTCTGCTTGGATCTTCAGCTATGTGTCCCCACAATAGTCGTGGTTGTTCAGATCCATGACTCAGACCCATGCTTTAGTCTTTGGTTTCAGTACTGTCACCTGTTTCCAGAAGTCTGTAATCTGGATCCAGCTGCACTGGACAGAAGAACAGATTCCACGTTACCTTTATGTCATGTTGCTTTTGTAGACCTGAAGGTGCAACTATCACCAGTAACACAGGTGATTCATTGACAGGAATTTAGGAAATAGGTAAAGGGTGCCTTTCCCTATTGCTCCTTTCACAGGTTCTGTTTTTATATAGTAGGCAATTATCAGCTGCTCTTTGCTACTGTGAGGTCAAAGAAAGTCCAGAAAGGAAAAAAAAGGCAAAAAAAAAAAAAGCTATTTTCCCAGGCCATTTTTGGCTTTGCACGGGAGGTCAGAGGGGCATTTCCTATGTTCACTGCTACTGAACCCAGCCATTATTCTGTGAGTAAAACCAAAAATGTTAAAGAAGCAAGCCACAAGTGCATGAGCTGAGCAGTGGTGCCTCCCTCCCTGGCAGGGCTCTGCTGAGGGCTGTGGGTGCTGGCGCAGCCCAGGCTCACAGCCACCCATTCTCCCCAAGCAGAGAACAGCAGCAGCGACCAGCGACAAGCCTGCAAGAAACATGAGCTCTACGTCAGCTTCAGGGACCTAGGGTGGCAGGTAAGGGCTGTGTGTGATCGGGGTGGGAGCTGGGTGCCTTTGCACATCAGTTAGAGCTGCGGTAGTGAGCTCCAGCCCTGAGGGAAGAAATGGTGCATTGCCTTTGGCATGCTTAAGAAGTGCTTCTGCAAAGTTAGGGTGTACAAATATTTAGAGTGAGACTGGCTGGAAGCTCAGCACACTTTAGTCCTTTTGAGAAACTGTGGCCCTGAACTTCCTCCATCAGTGTTGAACACACATAGGGCCCTCCAGTTTAACCTATCAGTTCTTTTAGACCTGGTTAAAGACACTTTAGTTTCTGAAAGCCTGTACCTGCACTTCAGTGGTGAGTGATCCATATGGTCAGCCAGGACACTGCTGTATGGATAAACAACTAAATCCCGAAGGTTAGCTACTCTATGGACACATTTGCGAAGTGGGATACATCCCTCCAGGATTCCACCTGCTTTTTTTGAAAGGCCAATGTACCAGGATTTTATTTTGCCAGTCACTGTAACTGTATGTAGATGTATGAGCTGATAGGTTTCTGTGCTGGTTTACTTCTTGTTTCACTGCACATTATTTCTGTCTTCACAATCTAACATCTTCAATTTCACCAAGGACTGGATCATCGCTCCGGAGGGCTATGCTGCATATTACTGTGAAGGAGAATGTGCTTTCCCGCTGAATTCATACATGAATGCTACAAATCATGCCATTGTACAGACACTGGTAGGTGCACTGTAGCCCCTAGTGCAGAGTTGTGTCTGATAGGTGCTACTCAGAAATAAGTTTATACACAAAAGAAATCTCTAAGCTACCATGAGAAGGAAGGTCTGCATTAGCTCGCTAAGATGCCTGCAGCATTTGGCTCAACATATCTAGCCAAGTGGCCTGAATTAATAGTTGGCTAGGAATTACCCTGTCTTTGCTGCAAGCATTGACATACTCCCTCTAGTTTAAAAGGGCCCTATGACAGACATCTTAATGGTATAGTCCCACTGCAAGGGGAGGGGAGGATGCGAGACCTACTGTGAGCATCTCTTGGAAAAACTCTGTAAGGATCCACTGAATGCTGCTGCCAGAAGCAGACTGGGGGCAGATTGAAGAAGGGGTCAGTGAATCCCAAAATCACACAGCCCAGCTGCTCTGTGGGTGTATTTGTGTTATGAAATTGTGCAAGGATGTCCAGATGGGAGCCCTGAGCTGGCGTGATCTCATGACACAGCGCCTGTGCTCAGGGGTTCACCCAGCCCCAGCTGTGGCACCAGAGCCAGTGCACCACAGCTCTTGGCTTTGGCTACAAGATACATGCTGGTCCCAAGTACCCTGGCTATGCAGCTCCCCCCAGCTGACCAGCCTGGACACCCCCCTACCCAGCTTGGGTCCCTGGACACATCTGCAGGGCACAAGGAGGCTCACTGCTCCTTTTCATCTACACCCCATGTCCTGTGCTTATCTAAGGACAACACTGGCAAAAGTAATAGGAAATGTAGATGCTTCTGGTTTCCCCAAAGAAGGAATATCTGTATGTTTTTCTCTGGGTAGAATGGTTTTATTTGCTCCCCCCCCAGCCCTTCCTCAGAGATCCCACAGCAGGGAGCACAGGGCACCCAGAGCCCTTGTCCCTGCCTGGGACCCTGTCTGGGGCTGATGGGATTTGTCACAGAGCCTCACCCGTGTGTCCTGTGGAATTTATCGGAACTGGTACAGTTCTGCAGAGCTCTGACAAATGGGAATTCTCTAATGAAAACCTGCCCCATTGAAAGATTTCCAACTAGATCTGACTTGGGTGCGTGCGTCAGCCTCCTGACACGCAGGGGACATCTTGAGATGTTTGTACACAAAGCCAGGTGTTCAAAACATGTCTGAGTGAGTGCATGAGACACAGAAGGATGCCTTGGAAAGAGAACCATAAGGGAAGAGAGGGGAAAAGTAAATCTTAACGTGCCTCTACTTTCTTTCCCCAGGTTCACTTTATAAACCCAGAGACTGTGCCGAAACCCTGCTGTGCTCCTACACAACTCAATGCCATCTCCGTGCTCTATTTTGATGACAGCTCCAATGTTATCTTAAAAAAATACAGGAACATGGTGGTGCGAGCCTGTGGCTGTCATTAGATTTGTAGGAAAGAAAAACAGGAAAAACAAAAAGAAAAAAACAAGTTATTTGTAAAGAGTGGTTTTGTATGGCTGTGTGGGGGAGGGGAAAAGGTTAGCACTCCAGCAATGGGTTTATAAAAATCCCAAACAGTTTTTAGGACCAGGCTTCTGAAAGTTCAGACAATGGAACGGTTTCTGGATCTTAAGTGGCATTTGAACACATTTTGTTTGAGTTTATGACAGACAATGAGCTTGTAAACTGAAACAAGCCAGAGAAACCATTTAAAACCAAATCTGCCTACAAAATTGGCTCCTGCAAGACATACTTCTGCAAATGAGTCTTTCTGAAGATTGCAAACTCACCAGTGTTGATTGCAAGTTAAATCACAATAATCTGTCCAAGGTGAGAATGTGCTGTGACTAATAAGCGTGTGTAGTTCCTGTATCACAGTTTGCAATAAAATAAGTGAACAAAATATACCTGGAGTGAACAGGTATTTTGTTAAGAGAATTATTACTTCCATCCCTCTGTTTGCTTCAATTTCATAAGCAAAACCAAAGATTAATTACATGCAACTGCCAATTTTAAACTATAGCAGCAAAAACTGTATCTGGATTGGTGCAAATTCAAAGCCAGATCAGTCTAAGAAAAAAAGACAATTTTCTAATTGGCAGGCAAAGGAACTGCACAAAATAATTGCAAAGAGCAAGACTTTTTGGGTATACTTTTCTTTTTGTCAACAGGGAAGGAAATTTCCTCTAGCAACCAGAAAGAATTTGGATTTGCTATGAACTTGAAACAGGAGAGCAGCAGAATGTTAAGAAACAGGGGTTATACCTAACATTTTGCTGGGGTATCCTGAGCAACTGGGGAGCTGTGTGAGCCAGCTAAAGATCCTGCTCCTGTTTGTAACTGAAATTGGCTTCACTGACAGAACAAATCATAATGCTTTTTCAAAAGCATGGAGGCTCAAGTGCAGATAGGGCAGTAGAGCCAGCAGCAGACAGGCTCAGCTAGGAACCTGGCTTCCAGGGTCAGTGGTTACGATAAACCCCCTGCTCTGTTATTGGCTTCACCTTAGAAAAACCCTACTAAATCCCTTTTCAAGAGCCGTATGGAGTTGGAACAAGGAGCATGAAAACATCCCTTCGAGGCTTTTCTTTTTCCTTCTTTTAAAGTCACAGGTTACACAAACATCACACGTAGGTAATTAAAACTCAGTTAAAGTCATTGTGAAGAAGAATGCAAAGTAGCAGTAACCAATCACAAACCAATTCACCACTTGGCATGTGCTGTAAGTAGGATTGGGATAAATGTCACAGAGAGATGAAAATTCTGACCAATAAAACACCAGCTCTAAATCTCCAAGCTTCGAAAATCTAAACCTCCAACAGATGGGTCCAGAACACAATAAATGCCTGGAGATGGTTCTCTCTGTTCAGTGAGTGGACAGGGCAGTGCAGCCGCAGCAGGAACTTGGCTCCATGTCTTGCCTTAGAGGAGAGTTAGAGAAGATAAATGAATGCAACCACCCAATTCTGGAAATCACTCGCTGCTCTTCTTCCTTTAAGTCACAGATCAAATCCAGACCAGATGCCTCACTTTAAAAAGAATAAGCAAAGGAAAGAAAAAAAATGACCATGTATGAAATAATTTGGAAACTTGTTTCTGATGGTCTAATCTCATTTAAGTCAGTTGGTGTTTTCCCAGCAGTTTTCTCAGTAGCAGGATTAGGCTCATGAGAAAGTGGAATTCTCTCCAAGACATTGGTAGGTTTTGGACCAGGGCATTGGTGAGCAGTCGCCACATTGCCAGATATGCCCAGCTTCCAATCCAGGCTATTCAAACATCTGCAGGACCAGCCCGGCTGTGGGATGCACACTCTGCAAGCACGATTCCAGCAAACTTCCCAACTGCCCCAATGTGGGACTTTGAGCAATAGTTACAGCAGCCAAATGGCAGGACAACAGCTGAAGGAGCCAAAAGACCATCTCTCCCTGGGGCGTGCAGGCATGACCATCTACAATAAACAGCCAAAACTGCCTTGGTGCATCTCTTATTTAGAGTGAGGTACTGAAATCGCACAGATTGGAAGCGTCTTTTGACATTGTATACGTATATACACCAGTGCTTTGTAAACCTTCTAAAGGAAGTTAAGGTGCTGCGTTGAAAGTTAAAAGCTAATCATGCCTAAACGTCCAATATTTAGTAGTCAAGGATTAGTTTTTCTTGCGGGTGTTTCAGTGTTGGTGGTCACTGAATTGGTGTATTGCATTTTTAACTTGGACCACGGTATCTTGCTGTATAGGATTCATATATTAAATATTATGTGGGGATTGTTTCTGTTTTGGTTTTTGTTTTTAAACATCATAACAGGATTTCTGTTGCTAGGCTCAACATCAGCTTCACTGTTTGTACATTTTTATGTAAATAGTTGTCACAAGCGGAAGAAGAATTATTTATTTCCATCTCCGAATTCCTTTTCAATCACATCCAGGAAAAATGAATCTCGGTTCCTAGACACATTTGTTTCCTTATTTAAGAAGATATTTATTAACAGTTGGCAAAAATGCATACATATTTCTGGTTCTTTTCATAGAGCAGTTGTCAGAAGCCTTTTGTACAAACTAGTAAAATAAATCATTGCAACTTTACAAAAGATATCCCAACAGCATTGTGTATCTGTGTGGTTATTCCTGTATTCAAAAATGCTTCTTGGCTGGGCAGTATTTAATCTTGAGCCTCTGTTTTTGTGTTGATCAGTCTCTATGTATGGGCAAAACCGGCACATGTGGCTATTTGGTGCGACTCCTTCAGTCCAAATACAACAGAGAGGGAAGAATACAAAAAAAATATGAGTATGTTTTGCAGTCTGCACTGCAAAGATCCACGATTGAATTATAGTGCAGCTGTCAGCAGCTGTTTCAAAGAAGCAGGGGGTAAATTAGTTCTGTTTACTGCTAACATAGTTCAGAGATTTAGTCATCCCAATAAAATTATAGAGGCACAAGAAAGGAAGAAAGAAACTCCAAAGGAACATCAGCCAAGAAGCTGACATTTTCTGATTTAGATTGTTTTAGCATATTTCAGAGATGCTGCTGGCATGAGGTTTCCTACTGTGGATACCACACTGCATTGCTATGGAGGCAGCTGAAAAAAATAATGGTCTAAATCCCTGTATTAACTAAACATTCTGTCTTCAGGGCATAACAGCAATTTTGGGGTTCTTGGTTACTTTGAACTGTGAGCAGAGTTGTGCCAGTTTATGTGGATGTATTTGCTGATCCAGAGGCTTAAATCATCAGCATTTTGGAGTTAAACTACCATCTTTCACAAGCAATTACAAATTCATAAGTAAATTTGCTTCATGCACAGAACTGAATTTCAGCAAAGCATCAGTGGAAAGACTTCTACTGACCTGAACTGATGCCTACTCAGCTTTTGTATGCCTAAACTAATTCTACAAGGAGGATCCTCTGGTATTTCTCAGTATGGTCCCAATTCTCTGCATTTAGACCCAGTGTAAGTGTGAGGTGGTTCCAGCTAGGGGAGGAAAATCACATTTAAAAGCAATCACCCAGCTTTACAGTGCCAGTCTTGCAGCCAACAGAAACTTCACCACTAACTTCAACACATCTAGCCTTATAGCATGAAATACCGGTTGGTTTCCAACTCTGCCACAAACACACAACTTGCTGGATGTGCTTTGGAGCAGCTTTCCCAGCCTGGGAGCCAAAACTTCGTTCCCGAGCTGATTGCAGCCTCCCCTCATTCCGCACTGCTACTGTGGCTTTGTCTCCTCATCTACTGTTCTGGAAGAGGAATTCTTGACATGAATACGTATGCTGCCATAAACTGGCAGGGCCATAAAATTAGTGAACCAGCTTCAAAATGGTTAGATTTATCTCAGTAATGACATTTTAAAGCACATTTAAAACACTTTATAGATCAGTTATTTTAACTTCTTTTCAGGCCAAACTTTGAGGATGTTATGTTTGCTTAATTGAGCCGTTTCAGAACTGTTCCAGTACTGACAACCCTTTTGTCCTTATGCAGGAAACTTCCTCCATTGCTGCCAACGTTTATATAATAAAAAGATAATGATTTAAGTAAGCCTTAGTGTAATTTTAAGATTCCCGATTTTTATGGAAGTGTCAGCTGTAAAGCCTAAAACCAGAGAGGGAGAATGGAGCTCACACAAGCACAGCTCAGCAGCATTGCCAAGGACTGCAGGATTTCATCTGCTGCTCTATTCAATCCCATCAGCTCTGCAGGCAATGGGAACAGACACTTTCTGGGTAAGTCGAACCAAAAAGACTCATCTTTTGAGGTCTGAATTTCCGTCCTCTGTCCATTCCCATCCAAATACCTTTCCTGCTGACTTCCACTGCTGCCACAAACACGTTATTCTCTGTATTCAGCTGCTCCTTTGGAGAGAAACCTTGCCCAATTAAGCTAAAAGGAGCCTGTTTGAAGTTTTTATTTATCAGGTAATGATTGACAAGACCTTGAGGCAGAAACTAGGAGCACTTTATGCTACAGTCATTTATTACCCAAGTACAAAAGCTACACAAATGGCCACTTCGAATTACTCTGTTTTAAATAAAAACATCTATTCCCTTTTTCTGCTTAATGCAATAGAATTTGTATTCCTAAACCAGAAACTAAGATCAGAAGTTTTGGATAACACACATTTAATACACTGATTTGTTTCCTAGCCTGCACACTGGTTTGCCTGGGGTCAGGCAGAAGGAGCAGACTTTTAATGCTCTAAGAGTTATTTTGATATTGTGAGGTTTGCCACTTTGGGACAGATCTGCTGTTTTTTCCAATTAATAGAATCCTGATGTTTGAATTAATTCCATAAATGAAGACAACACAATCTTTAGACAGCTTGATTTCGGTTTTATATTTAAAAGGAAACCAGACCAAGTTAGAGGCAGATTCATCAACTTCACATTTTTTTCCTCCATCTGGGAAAAGTACTGGGAGAACCAAGGGAGAAAAGGGGGCCTTCAGCCTCAGTCCCATGAACCCTTAGAAAGGTAGCGTTGCACTTGACTAATATTTGCAGGCATGGTTAAGCATTTAACCATTTGCAGGATAAAGATCTACGTGGGGCTGCTTGAATTAACCTCACCCTCAAAGAACGAGCTTGCTTGTCTGCAGTAAAACCCAGCCCAGGCCAGTCAGCAGTAATCTGGGGAATGGAGAGTTTGTGTCTGGAACTGGGAGGGGGCAAGTCCTGTATTTACTACAACATCCATGGGCTTGCCCCTAATTAAAAACATGCTCTTACCCTTTCTGAACGGGAAGCTGAAGTGACTTTTAAGTGAGCAGCTCTGTGCTGCTGATAACTTTGGGCTAATGGTCTTATTTTAAGCAGCTCTTAAGAAAAAGGAGGAGGGATGCCAGGACTTCAGCAGAACTGCTGTGCTTCAGTGTGTCACCACCAGGACTTCACGCTGATGCTGGAT